GATCCTGAAGAGGAAACTCAAAGACTTTGGCCACCTGATGAGAAGGAAGAAGGCATCCCTGGAGAAGAGCCCCATGCTTGGAATGATGGGGAGCAAAAGAAGAAGGGGATGACAGAGAAGGAGGGGGCTGGATAGAGACACAGAAACAGTTGGCGTGAGCTTCAATGGTCTCCAGAGGATGGTAGAGGACAGGAAGGCCTGGAGGAACGTTGTCCTTGGGGTCACAATGGATCGGACACAACTTCGCAACTAACAACAAAGGAAGTTGTGGGTGCTCCACCACTGGAGGCTTTTAAGAAGAGACTGGACAGCCACCTGCCCAGGAGGGTTGAGGACCCTCTGTAAAGTGTTTCATAGTCAACATATCTCCACCAACAATCTGGGTCTTCATTTTACCGTCCTCAGAAGGATGGAAGGCTGAGTCAATAGCAATAGCATTTAGACTTATATACTGCTTTACAGTGTTTGACAGCTCACTCCAAATGGTTTACAGAGTCAGCCTCTTGCCCCCAACAATCTGGGTCCTCATTTTACCCACCTCGGAAGGATGGAAGGTTGAGTCAACCTTGAGCCGGTCAGGATCGAACTGCTGGCAGTGGACAGAGTTAACTATAGCAATAGCACTTAGACTTATATACTACTTTACAGTGCTTGACAGCCCTTTCTAAGCGGTTTACAGAGTCAGCCTCTTGCCCCCAACAATCCGGGTCCTCATTTTACCCACCTCGGAAGGATGGAAGGTTGAGTCAACCTGGAGACGGGTGAGATTCGAACTGCCAAATTGCAGTCACACAAAAAAACCCCCTAATAGATATATTTCAGAGTGTTAACATTTTAGCACAATGCATCTTTTAAGGACTCTATTCATACGTAGACTTGTGAATTGATTTAAAATAGGTTAATACGTAAAATGCAGAAAGTTGTGAAGGCCTTGTATTTAAAGGGGCTGCACTGATATATTTAAAATAATGAATTAGGTGTTTCGTTTCTAACTCCAGGAAGAAAAAAAGATCCTCTTCTATTATCCAAATGAAGCAGAGAAAAATGAAAAAATCAGAAATGTTGGATTATGTGAGGCCATTGTTCAGTTTACAAGGTATCACACTCCTTAGGTCTGCATGTCTAGTATTTATTTGGAAACAATTAAACTTACTTGGCTCTTTCCAGATTAAAAAAAAAAGACTGCCCATTTGATGGTGATCAGATTAGACCTTTGAAATGTGTGGACTTCAACTCCCAGAATTCCCCAGTCAGCACTGCGGATAGGAGCTAAGACTGTCCAACCTTGTAATTTTCTCAATTATACTTTCCATGACTTCACCATGAAATTGTTCATTCTTGGTTCATACAATATTTTTTTCCCCGCATGTTAACATCCCCCAAGTAGGCATTTGTGAAAAGCGTGGGTAGGACCAGTGGCATGAACCTTGGCCAAAAATATTAAATTGTCTCATTTCTGTAATGATGACATAATTCATGTGCTCCTGATGTTCTTGAGGCTTGTTACTGATGCTTCCAATCCCGTATTTCACCCAAGAGAATGTACCTACTTTCTTTTTTTCTGATTTGTTTTGTTTCCCCCCCAAAAAACCAATCTGGAAGAATTATTAAAATTGCCCTGTGAGTTTCTTGGCTAATTAAGGTTTAAACTAAATTTCCCCGGTTCCATCTTGATTTGTTTACATATTACTTAAGCGAGGAGGTCAAGAGAACACAGGGGAATTAATAGTTCTTCCTTTATGGGGAAAATCAAAACAATAATGGATTTATGTTATGTTCCCCTGGTCTGATGAATATTTAAACTACTAATTCATAAAATATTTCTTCTTCTTAGGACCTTCAGTCCTACAAAACCTGCAAAATCACTACATACCCAGAAAAATAGACAGTTCTTCAATGAACCAGAAGAAAACTTCTGGATGGTTATGGTACTTATTTATCTACTCACATTTGCATGCTTTCAAATTGCTAGTGGTACCTATTTATCTACTCGCATTTGCATGCTTTCAAATTGCTAGTGGTACCTATTTATCTACTCACATGCTGTCTATATAAATGCATGATGCTGTCCTTTTAGGCATTAGTTTCAGTAATTTTTTGAATGTCCTTTCAGATTTTTATACCTTTTACTTTATGCTGAAAATTTCTCTGGAACAATTTACAGATGGAATACTTGAACAATACGTGCTATCGGTCCATACTCTAATGGGGCGGGGATAGATAGGAGATGCAAAGAAATAAAAAAGGCCGCATTTTTAAGCTATGATTGTTAGAATTGGTGGTTGCAGTGAAACAAATTCAGGAGTCTGGTGGAATAACTGGTGTTGTTATTCCAGTTTGACCAGAAGTTGTAGGAGAAGAAATGGTGCCATCTGAAGGTGGAGTCAAAAGAGGAATCAACCTAGTATCCCTAGGTAGCCACAAATGAATCCCATTGACCCTTATCTGGAGCCAACATAGCGCTCAGCTCATCATCATTTGCCTGCTGCTCTCCAAAGTTTCTCAAAAGAGCCTACAGAAGCTAAAACAGAATTTTAAAATAAACTTGCTTAAATGAACTGTTATGTACCGTTTTCAAGGTCGTACGGAATCCGGTGATAGAAAAACACAAAGATGGCAAAACAGTCTTCGAATACCAGGAAGAAGAGCTGCTGGTAAGAATGAACCGTCTCCTGCTTGAGCCGGGCTGGGGGGGATGTTGGACTAGATCAGTGTTTTTCAACCACTGTGCCGCGGCACACTAGTGTGCCGTGACATAGTGTAAGGTGTGCCGTGGGAAAATTACTTT